CTCCACTATGATGTGCTAGAACCAACTCTTGACTGAGCTTTCACAGAGATGACGGTTAAATTTTCAGTAACTGCCAGAACCAGTTAATGACCACATTGAAAGGTTGAAATTAGTTATGGTGGAAGTACTTATAGCATGAAAATCAGAAAACATTAAAAATCAGGATTTTTTTTTCTTTCAGAGAACCATTTGTTAAATATTTACCAGCCTGCTCTTACCTGTTTCTGGTCTTTTTTTTTTTTTAATGAAGAGATGACTCAGGCTTTGGTAGTATCTAGTTTAGTGAAAATAAAACATTATTTGAAATACTAATATCTTTGTATTTCAATTTGCTTACCTCTACAATGGAAATGATGATAATAAAGTAATAATACAGAGTTATTTTGAAGAGTATATATGAATAGATGTGTGGGTGTGTGTGTGTGTGTGTGTGTGTGTTGTGTGTCATTCTTCTTTATGATTTAATATTATCCAGGCACTTCCTAAGTGTTCACTGTTAACCTTGTAATTTTAAAGTTATTTTCCGTGATGGCAAATAATATTGGCTTTCCACTTTAAAATAAATATTACAAAAACTGAGCCAATTTGGCAAGCTTTAGGAAGGTGGCATATGAGTATTTCAGTTGCTGGAAGCTCTGTGCAAAGAGGAGTGTGGGAATGACTTATATTGATGAAGGGTTTCCATTGAGTTGGGCTAATTTCTTCCCAGAGTTTTGCCACTGACTGCAGGGTGTTGGTCAAATTACTGCCCACCTCTCTGGAAACTGAGAAGTTGCACTGGAATAGCATTCAGTTGTCTCCCACACCCTCTCTATGGGAGGCCAAACCTTTGGAAAAATAAAACATGCTCTCCTTTTCACAAAGAACTGGCAGAAAAGAGGACAACCTACCTGACATGTACTATGTGGGGATCATGACTCATGTGCATTTAATGGTTAGAGAGAAAGACAGAATGAGCATAGACTGGGTGATCTTGCAAGTACCAATTTGAAAATGACTTTAGATGCTGATTTATTCAGAGATCCTGGATTATTGGTGGTCTTATTCCTTTGGTTGACTAAAATGTTCTCTCACACATTTGCCCTCCTTCATTGGCTAATTTCTTCTCAACATTTACATGACACCCCCTCCAGAAAGCCTTCCTTTTAGCTTTTAATTTTCATTTTTAGACATGTTGTCTCACTCTGTTGCCAAACTGGAGTGCAGTGGCATGATCACAGCTCATGGCAGCCTCAAACTCCTGGGCTCGAGCGATCCTCCCACCTCAGTCTCCCCAGTAGCTGGAACTACAGGCAAAGGCCACCACAACAGGCTAATTTTTTAATTTTTTTGTAGAGATGGGGTCTCATTCTTGCTCAGGCTGGTCTCGAACTCCTAGCCTCAAGCAATCTTCCTGCCTCGGCCTTCCAAAGTGCTGGGATTATAGGCATGAGCCACCATGCCCAGCCTACCTAGGAAGTCTTCTGTAATGCTTCCAAGATGAGAGGCATATCCATTCCTCTGTATTCCTCTAGGCTTTCTAAGAGTAAGTTTCACTGAATTAATTATATATTCCTTTGTCTTTGCCAGTTACATTCTTTGCTTTCTGAAGATAGGAGCTCTGACCTGTTTACCTTTTTATCCCTAGTGCCTGACACATAGCATATACTTATCAAACATTTCTATCATGACAGGAGGGGTTGTGTTCAGAAAGAGAATTTTGGAGTTATATTACCTAGATTCAAATACTGGTTTTGCTCCTTACTGGAGGTGTTCCTTAGGCAAGTCATTTAATTATCCTCTGCCTATGTATATAAAACAACAAGGCAAGGCATTGAATGCTTTATCTAACTGTAAAATGTTGCATAAATGGATACTATTTGTGCCCATACACATATTTGTTTATTTATTAATATAGTCATTTTGGCTAATGAAGCTATGCCATCATATAATGTTGGTTCAGGGTCTGTTATCACATTTTACCTGATTCTGTCACATTCAGGTAGAGTACTCATCCTATCACATTCCATCCTGAGTGCCGCTTGGTGTTTTGCATGGAGGGAGTGTCTATTATAAACTTAAATTGGGATGAAACTTCCTTATCCCAGAATCATTAAAAACAAAGCAAATACCATAGTCTATTTGCAGAATATTTGGCATAATTATAAAGAACCATACATGCTAGCTTATCCTAACTGCTTTACCAAGACTATCTCCTTTAGTCTTCAAAATAGACCTGGTAGGTAGGATTTATTATCATTGTCGTTGTTATTAAACTGCTCCCCAGTTAGACAACTGATAAATGTAAGGATTAGAGTCTAAACCCCACACAGGCTGACCCTAGAGGTTACTCTCACAACCATCTCACTATTCTGCCCTTGGAAACCAGCCTACCTGGCCTTTGGGCACTCAGTTATGACTGATCATGGAGCTGGATACATGTGGAGAGAATAAGTCCTTTTTCCCTCAAGTGTTTAGGCTGAGGCTTCATGGCTGGAACAAGACTCACCACGTGTGTAAAACGGTCCAGCCCTTCCGTCACCAGCATCATCCTCACCCCCCATATGCCACCTTAGGGAAGACCTTTGAGCACCTGTGCCACATCTGCACCTTGCTTACTTTTGCTGCCCGGGACTCACATCTTTACTCTTCATTCATCCCTTTATCTTTCTCACCAAAGCTTCTCAAGGGCAAGGACCATGTCATCACCATACTTCTTGTGTGGCTCAAGATAAACCGCATGAATTCCAGTTTAGTGAGTGCTTCCTCTGACTTGTGTCCTGTTTCTGAGCCATATTACTCCCCTGTTAGGTAGGAATTATTATCAGTTCCACTTTGCAAAAGAGAAAACTGAAGCTCAGAGAACTTGAGTATCTTGTGCATCATTACAGAGATAGCAAGTGGGGTGAGCTGGGATTCAAAGGCAGGTTTATCTGCCTCTAGAACAGACCCTGTCCAGGATATCACAGTCCTCTTTTTGCACAACCCGCCACTGCATATCCAGGAGAGAACAAGGCACGTAATAGATGTGCTGTAAATGCTGTTAAAGTAAATAAGTGGATCGACCATTCAGAAAGACAGAAAGACTTGCAGATTTCTTTATCAGGACTTTTTGAATTTTGTTTTGTTTCAGTTCTTTTTGTTGTTGTTGTTCCAGCATATTACAGAGGAGGTACAAATGTTTGGGTTACATATATTACCTTTGCCCCGCTCAAGTCAGATCTTCAAGAGTGTTCATCCCCCAGACAGTGCACACTGCACCCATTTGGTGCAAATATGCCCATCCCTTCCTTCCCCTTCCCACCTGCCGGACACCCGATGAATGTTATTACTATATGTGCACTTAAGTGTTGGCCAGTTAATACCATTGTGATGGTGAGTACATGTGAAGCTTGTTTTTCCATTCTTGGAGTACTTCACTTAGTAGAATGGGCTCCAGCTCTATCCAGGATAATTTGAAGCCTGCAAAGTTCTGCTCTCACACTGGGATGAGACAAGGTCTTAAGGGAAATCTGTTGTAAGGGAAGACTTGATTTTCCTGAATGTGCTGCAAATCCAGGGAAAGGAGAGGAAGTTATTCTGGATTTGGTTTTCCCTGAGTTGGTTCCCTCTTGAAAGCTGATCTTCCCTTCAATTTCCAAAGCAACTGTTGTGTGCTGTGGCTCCCCTATGTGCTCATTTATCAGGGTAGGGGTCTTCTGAGGCACAAAGTCCTAGTGATTGAGCTGAGCCCAGGCAAAGAATGACAAGCATGGTGATTCCACTGGCCATCCTGTTAGATCAGATACTGCCTGATCTAACAAGTATTTGCAGCAGAATCTGGGTCTGTCCCTCTCAGCTGGCTTCACTGAGGCCACTCACCAGCCCAGCCAGTCTTAATGGCTTTCTCTGTTTCCCATTCCGAGCCAGAATGGAACCAGACACCTAGAGGTGAAAGGTTCCCTACCTTATTATAAATTCCCTGAGCCAAACTGTTCCTGATGGTGTCCTGAGGAATTATTTTCCCATTTAATCTAATTCAGTGAGGCTTCTCTCTGGGATATGCAGTGAACATTATTGCCTTAAAAATAATTTTTTTGAGAGGGAAGAAACACGTTTTGCCATGCTGAAGGTAAGCAAAAAAAATGTATTTGACACCTCAGGTAATGGGGATTTTTTAAATTATTTTTTTGCCCATCCCTTTCTGAATCTCTTCAATTGAAAATTGTATTTTTACCATATTTTATTCCCAAAGGAGCTTTTCATAATTTAAATCTCCTGTTCAACTGTACATTTAAAATGGGAACCCTGACACTGTCCTGATTATAGCATACAAGTTGGACATTACAGAATTTCTCTCTGGGAGTAGTCTAATTTTATTCACTCATTATTAGCATCATAGCAAAGAACTGTATTCTTCACCCTGAACTGAACAGTCTCTTCTAGTGGATCCTGGATGTTAAGACTATAAAAATTGGGAAAATTACCCTTCCCACTCTCCATTTGTAATTTTTTTAAATGTTATTTATTAAATGTAATTTCTTCACAGGGTTCAGCATAAAATGAACCCAAACCTGTCTTTAAACAGGTTAAAACAAGAGACAAAAAGAAAAAGGCTACAGTCTGTTTTATAGGAGTGATGCACTAGCATACACCTCAATTTGTATTACAAATGTAAAAGGATGTAAGAAAAGAGAGAAAGAAAGAGATGGAGAGAGAGAAAGAAAGAAGCAAGTTAAGAAAAAAGAAAGGAAGGAAAGAAAGGAGAGGGGGAGGAAAGAAAGAAGGAGAAAAAAGAGAATTTCTATTACTCACAGTAGTTTTTGATAAGTTACATAGCCACAGAGTGAAAACCAATATCTAAATAAAGTTTAAAAATAAAAGGACTTATTAGCCTACTCATTCTAATGCTTCAGATCCACTTTCTTACCTCGAGAGTTTGGGAAGTGCCTATGTTCACTTAGGTGCTTTTGAAAAGCAGTAATTTTGTTTTAAAACCTGTTTCCATGGACCCTTATCTTTCTTCCTCCTTGTTTTCGCAGGAAATTTCAATGAAAAGAAAAGCCAATGGATTGTGGTCTTAGAAAGGCTGCTTAGATGATGTCTGTTTCCCGTGCTGTAGACACGTGGCAGAGCTGTAAGTAAATGCTCGGCACTGCTTGATGAATTGGATGGCTGCAGATTGGAGACAAAAAAAATAATTGTCTCGTTTTCGTGGTGATTTGCTTAACTGGTGGGACCATGCCAGAACGGCTAGCGGAAATGCTCTTGGATCTCTGGACTCCATTAATAATATTATGGATTACTCTCCCCCCCTGCATTTTCATGGCTCCAATGAATCATTCTCAAGTTTTAATGAGTGGATCCCCTTTGGAACTAAACAGGCTGGGTGAAGAACAGCGGATTTTGAATCGCTCCAAAAGAGGCTGGGTTTGGAATCAAATGTTTGTCCTGGAAGAGTTTTCTGGACCTGAACCGATTCTTGTTGGCCGGGTAAGCTTCGTTTTTAAGATCCCAATTTCAGGGTCTGTTTATGGTCTTTAGATGTTTAACATCAGACTCCTCACAGCGGTTGCCATATTTAGCTGTGAATCCTTTAGACCAGATGGTTAGTTAGTTAACCTGTTGGTTCCTTGGGGAATATGAATAATCCCAAGGCAAGAGTCTTAAATGGTCTTTTAGGGAAAGCTGTTCCTTCTACCTCTTCTACCCTGCTATACATAAAATACAGCTACACTTGTGCAAAGAATAAACAAATAAGCTTTTCTTTCTCATGCACAGGAGAGCTCTCTATGCCAAAGCTTTTCTCTAGTTTATAGTACTTGGAAGAGGCATGCATTTTTACTCAGTTTGATTCCCTACCACTTCAATTATAAAGATGTTATCTTGTTTCATTTATTTGTAAGGTCACGTGGAGATCTCCGATTGCAGGTAGACGCTTCTCCCTTTTTGTTTTTCATTGTTTGTTGTTTCAATCATCAACCTAAAAATGGAGAAAGGGAAGTTCTTGGAGTAGATGCTTAGCAGTGCTTTGTACTATATAGTTTGATAAACTTAGCAACAGGAAACTAGCTCATCTCTTATCAGGTGGGAGCAAATGTACAGAATCACGATTTTAGTTTAGGAGAGTCTGTGTGTGTGTGTGTGTGTGTGTTGGACTAGATTTACATTTGTTTTTTTGTTGTTGGCAGTTTAGACAAATGCTCTTTGTGTAGACGTGTGCTGCCTGCTTTCCAAAATCACACCGTGGGTTATTGAAAATGATACATGTTTCTTCCTGTGAATTGTTCATAAGCTTCTTTTAATTTTGATGCACACCATTATCATAGGTAGAATTCCAATTATGAGCCTGACAATGGCAGATTTTCCTAATTGATCAGATTCAGAAGTGAATCAGGTCAATGTTATTCATTTCCCAAATTCACTGATTTAAAAAAAGAAAAATAGAGGAGAATTAAATATTGATCTTCAAGACTTGCATCAACTCTTTGTGTTTTGCTAGAAACTTTTGATCACATTACAACTTGTACGGTGTTGTCTTGCAAAACAAATTGAGCCTCCTCAAGGATTTTGTATCTCATTTCACATGGTTCTACTTGAATGAAGGAAGCCGGCATGAAGAGATATCATGATTCATTACATGGATATTTATTGAGCCTTTCCTATGTGCCAGACGCTCTATTAGGCACATGGGGGCATATTAATGAACAAAACAGTGATCCCTGCCTTTAGGCAACTAACATTCTGGCCAATACTGAGTATTTATTATGTGTTGAGCACTATTATAAAAGAGGGACAAACCTTTTGATTTTATGAATAACAATAGTCGTTCCCCCTACACACACATAAATATATATGTATGTATAGGTGTGTGCGTATATGTACATACACGTATGCACACAAACATATGTGTATAAAACAGGTGTGCACTCCCTTTGCCTTAAGTCCAAAATATAAAAAAAATCTCTGAAAGATTTTTTTGTATGCTTGATACAAACTCAGGTAGCAGAACTGACTTGAGGCTATTTATAGTCATAATGCATCCCATTACTGTGACTGTTCATATATTTCACCGCAGAAATGCTAATGTGGTTGATTACAGGGTGCTGCCCCGGACCTTGCTGAGGGTGTTACTTCCTATATAGTTTATGTAGCTTAGTATGTTTATAAAGTGCAAAGAGTTCTGAATTCCAAAACATATCTGGTCCTGTGGGTTTTGGGTATGGGCTCCTCTACAAACATTATTATTATTATTTTTTGTAGGTACAAAAACTGAGGTTTAGGTAGATTAATAAACCAAACCAAGATCTCAGAGCTAATAAATGATCTATCTGAGTTTGAATCCTGTTGGTGATTTCCAAATCCATTATTTCACCCACTATACCCTATTACATTAGTAATTAGCTACCTGGAGTTTAAACTATAATTTGCATTTAAGAGTTATTGAGTATAGAATGCAAAGTCTTTAAATTCGTAATTCTGGATATTCAGAACTTCTTTACCCAGCCCTAAGGCAAGTTGTCTTCATACCATATGAAATTCTGGAAATTCATGCACATATATATAATGCATGGATACTCTCTCTGCTTCTCTTAGTTACCTTTTTATGGAGTTATATCACTCTGATCCTGTCTTGCATAATGTAAATAACTAAACATGCTATGCCCAGAGGAAAGTTCCATTTTTATCTGAGTAGAAAAAGTAATTAATGCAGGTTGTCTTGGACTCAGAAACTGATCACTGATTTCTCCTACATTTCCTAAATGAAGTAATAAAGAGGCAAACGGCCAAGTACTCAGCCTCCTCTTGTGACTTAGTAGTACTTGAGATGGTCACGTTTCTCTGGGTGGTTGAAATGTTGCCAGTGAATTCTAGGAGTTTGAAATGGCCGAAATGTTTTTGAGTCTTAGCTCTTTTCACTTCTTCCTACAATGACCCATTCCCAAACAATTGTTAAATCAGAGTTACATTTATTTTCTGAAGTACTTTTCTGCAAACAGTTTCAATCATATTATTTCCCCTTAAAGAAAATTGCTCCTGAATTATGACAGCCTAGCCTTTGAGGATCCTGGGTTGTAGTGAAGCCAAAAATACATTCTGGATTATGAGTCAGGCTGAGTGCGGAGATGATCCATATCGGGGTGCCCACCGGTGCTTTACGATGTTTTATATGTGCACATTCTTCCACATCCGACTCTTTAAACCACTTCACCTCAGAGCTTCTCCCCAGGAACTGGCTGAGAAGCATTAGTTACCTATGAGCATACCTGCTCTTTAAAATGCCCTCCTGCTAGTCACCGTTGCAGGGGCCTCAGACCTAGCAGTCTGAGTTCAAGCTCAAGGGCAGAGCCTGTATTTGAGTGATTGGTCCTTCAGAGCTTCACATATAACCATACAGCATCCATTGTCTATTTTTACTATATTGGTAAGCACCTGGATGCCCAGAAAAAAACCTAAGTGCTAGAGACGGACTCTCCAGCGGTTCAAATATTGGTTTAGCCACTTTCTGGGTGTTAACCCTGGGAAGGTTACTAAAGCTTTTCAAGGGTTACACAAACACGATAAGTAACAGTATATAAGATTAAATAAATAATAGATGCATAGTGCTTGGCACAGAGTAATTATAGTCATAATTGTATTTTTAACTGTGTATATATGTGTGTGTTGCAGTTGGAATGGTGGACAAACTGGCAGCAACCTCATTAGGTGAGCACAAAACTCTGGGAGCCCAGAGAAGGGCCCCCTTCACTGGTTCAGGTTGTTTAGGGTACAAGTGATGTTCAGTGTGTCCTGAACGGTGCCTGGCACTCAAGTCTGGTGGAGTGGGAGGGGTGAGTTCCAGCTAGACAGAAGGGATTTTGCAAAGTAATGGGATAGAGTAATATGACTAAGGGTTCCCGGAGCCAGAAGCAACATAACTCTTTATATTTCCTGTTGAATTAGAATGAAGTTGAAAGTCATATTCTTAAAGAGGTCTTCCTTACCCATTGGATCTAAAATATAATCACCTCTCCTCCCATATTTCACACACTTTGCCTATGCTTTATTTTTACTTCTTCCTGATGCTCAGATCTTACATATTCTATACTTTATTGTGTTTATGGTTTGTCTCCTGCTAGAATGCAAGTTCCAGAAAGAAAACGATTTTTGTGTTCATTGTTCTTTACTATACATCCCCAGAACTTAGAACACTGCCTGCATATGGGGACCACTCAGGCAATATTTTAGATGAAAATATAAATGAATAATCCCCCTAAATAAAGGAGAGATTTATAAAAGTCACATGAGCTCTATCAGATTAAAGATAAATATAATTTATCAATATGAAGGCTTCATGTTCTCTCTTTCCTAATGGTTTTTTACAGACCAGCAGGGTAGTTTAAACAGTTGTTCCTGTGTGTTGATTTTAAACATCTTTCTTTGAGGCAGCGAGAGTGAAAAAGTTAACTTGTTAAAACAACTCTCTTTCAAGAGGCTGCAGGGTCACCTCTATGGAGATGTCTTCTTCACCAGTGGCACAAAGCAGCACATTCCCTTCCAATCCATCTTCAAACTTCTGTTTGCACTTATGGTGCAGTCTTCTTTCTGAATATCCCAAAAAACAAATACCAGCCAAACAGACTCCACTGCTGCCTCCAGTTCTCTGTGCAACAAGGCAGTGGAAAGTCTGTTCATAAACACATAAATACTGAGCATATCACACCACCACATACCATTTGTTCTGGTATTAGAAAAGAGAGAGAAAACCTGCAGTGGTTTTTGATAAATCTTGCAACCGAGGCAAACATATTGTCCTTGTGGTAAAAACGTGTGTGGACTCTTTATGGTACATAGCTTGATGTCATCATGAGAGTCCTTTGCTGTAAGCTGGGATGGTGATTGATAGAGCCATGCCACAAATATTTATTGAGCACCTTGTATCTGCAGAGTATCCCACTGCCAGTGGATGCTCAGCTCGGGGCAAACACAGATCCTTACCTTTTGTCATGGAACCAATGAGCTGCTAGGGGGAGACAGGCATTATAACAAATAATCATATGAACAAATGCCACATTACAACTGAGATAAGTACTCTGGAGCAAAGGAATATGGTTCTGTTGAAGCATGCACAGAGGAAGCTGACCTATTCTGTGGGAGGGAGGATGGACTCTTCCCTAAAGAAATAATCTATAAGCTGATACACGTGAACTCCCTTAACCAGGGTTCAGGGATAAAGAGAGAGAGGGCATTTTAAAAAGATAAAATAGCATCCGTGAGGCTATTTATAGAGCTAAGAGAGGGTCAGGGTAACTGGATGTCTTAGTTCTGGCCGTTGTAACAAGTTAACATAGACTGGGTAGCTTATAAACAACAGAAATTTATTTCTCACCGTTCTGGAGGATGGACATCTTCAGGATCAGGGTGGCAGCATGGTTGGGTCCAGAGGAGGACCCTCTTCCAGGTTGTAGACTGCCATCATCTTGTTGTATACTCACTTTGTAAGAAAGATGACA